GGTTGGACCCAGCCTAGCCCACAACTCGCCTAGGTCAAGACAGGAAGGAACCGGCCCATGGCCCATGGGTCGTTAGTCGGCCCATGGATTTTGTTTTTTCAAATTTTTTACTTTTTTATTTTTAAACTATATTAAACTTGTATTTATATTTATAAAATTATATTTAATTTTTTTCTATTTTAAACTCTTTCCACTATCCAAATTTGTGGGCATTTTGGCATATGCTAAACAACATGCTAATCTGTCACTGGCCGCATCTAGTTTTTTTTGAAAAAAGGCCAAACCCATAAAGTATATTCTATTTTTTTTTTCTCATTTATTGGGAGGGGGTTGTTCTATTTTTGTTTCAATTATTTCTTCTTCAGTTTGTGTCTCTAGAACTTCAAACTTTGGAGATTGAGAAGTCGGAGACAGACGTTAAGGAAACTAAAGTTGAGGTAAAGACTAAGAAGAGATAGAATGTCTCGTCATGACAGAATCGAGGGGTAGCGGCCCACACGATTATTGTTATTCCATCAAAGAAAGTGAAATAGAGTATCTAGAAGTAGCATCTAGAGTGACAGTACTTGTGGTTACTGCTCAATAGGTAAAGGAATAGTACCAGTGGGATTAACTATGTAGCCGGCGGGAGCAAAACGATAGTAGAAATCGTAGGGTGCATTATGATTGGTGATTTCTACTTCCACCGCCTTTATGGGAATGGTATTAGAATGTGAGAGAGGTAATCACTTCTGCCAGTAATAGATGGGGAAGACGGAGAGCATTGTGAGGAGGATGAGTAGAGAGAGTATTGTAACGTGGATGAGTAGGGATCTATTTATAATATGAGATTTTTTTTAAGGAAACTTTGGCAGAGTGGATAAGAGAATTTTTGTAATCAGAATGATAGTATAAAAAAACGAGTTAGATAGATAGAATAAGTTGTGAGATATGAGAAAGAAATGATTCCTATTTATAGTAGAGGGACGAGGTTCACTAGCTTCGTTAAAAAAAATCCTAATGAACTGAACCCAATTCAAAATTTAAAACCAACATTGATTTCTGACTCTGAAATTGATTTGAGAAAAAGAAATAATTTTAAAAATAGATTTGACAAAAAGTTAAAGAAACAAAGAGAAATACCGAAAAAGAGTCGTTTGCCCTCTTTCTAGCGATCAGATGTCTAGTCTATGCATGTGATTGCTAAACAAAGTGAATCAACGACTCTCTCTTCTTAGGGGCTGTTTGGTTGTATGTTTTTACCATGTAAAAGGATGTAAAGTGTAAAAAAGTGGGTCCCAATGTCAGCTTTCATAACTTTCAATTGTTTGTTTGTAGTTGTGAAAATAGTGTAAAGTGATTTCATATGCTGATGTGGCTTGTAAAGTGATTTCATGAAAAAAAGACATGATTTTAGGAGAAAGCTAACATTGAAGTTAGTAAAAAATAATTCCAACCAATATGATCATTTGAGTAGGGACCACTTTTTACACTTTTCAAACAAACAATTAAAGTTTTATTTTGCAAACCAAACAGGTGTTTTATGATTCCAATGGAATCAAAAACAAACAAAGAAAAGTATAAAAGTAAAATTGATGAGGTGGACAACAACTTTCAAAGTTGTGTCATAAATACACAACTTTACCAACATCAACCAATAGCGCAGAGGAATACAAGGTGGGCCCAGCCCAACTGACAGGTGGCCATTCCTACACTGCTGTAGTTTGCATGGTCCAAGGCCTATGGGCTCGACTGGACCGAAGGATGCCAATAGGCCATACTGTAGCCCAATCTTTCCTGGTGGCAGCAGGTCAGCATCCCAACTGGCA